CAGCAGGAAAATACCATACTTAAAAGTTTGTGGAAGACATATAAGTAAAGCTCACTCCCTCTCTTCTTACAAAAATCACTATGCTTTCAAAAGCTAAGAAGGATATTCAACAAATACATAAGGAACTGAAGTCCATGTATTACCATGTCTAAATAATCCTAACCATTCATGGAACTGTATTGGAAATAGCTCTCCTTTGTTTTTTAAAACACTTCTAAGAAAGAATAATGCCTCAGAAAACTATTATTCCTAAAGCAATACATTCCAATAGAATGAAAATCAGGAAAAATTCACTATCAGTGTTAGCAGTAGTAGTTTTGCAGTAGAATTCATTAATATTTCTGTTTGTAACTACTTTAAGGACAATAAAAATGCATTATTTTCTAGACAAAGTTGAGAAATGAACCTGGAAAATTAATCAGACCGGCTCCATTAAAAATATTTTTAAGAGTTACAGTTAGTGAAGTGGGCAACTGTGGGTACTAGGAAAGAAATACAAAAATACTCAAAAATAAGACACTATACCAGCAGTTCTGCAATTAATTAGCGTTCACCTACATCAACACATATTCCCTATTTCTCTCTTTCTTAAGGTATGGTTGATTAAGGTTCACATTCTGTCGGTGATAAAATTCAGTCATAGCACAGGACCCTAAACAACAGGTTCCTAGATTAAACAAAATGACAGAAATCTTGTTGATGCAAAGCTCTGTCATGGAAGGCTAAATATCATCCTTCACCTAAACTTAGAACAGGAGCGGCTCCTGATACAATAATGTGTCAGTTGGTCTCCACATAATACTGTAATACAAGTGAATGACATCAGTCATTAAAAATAACTATTTACATGACTTGTTTGGTACATTTTATTTTTGCAGATTTATTAAACATTGTGCCTTATCTCTCCTCTACGAAATATTCCTGTGTTTCTGCCAGAGTCTAAATATAGATGAAGGATTAGTCACGAACATTTTCCTGCTCTTTAAGCTCTTTCCAACATCTGTGCAAAATCCCTTACTGTGAGCTCTGCCTAAGCCTCTGTAGTTTTGGTGAAAAATATTAGAAAACAGTGAAGTGAAGGGGAGAAATTTTCAGCTGAACACCACACAATTCATTCGATTTCATAAAACACAGGAACAAAAAAATATTGAGTAAAATACATTTAATTTCAAATTAGGGAAACAAATAGATCCTTGGCAGACAACAGTCTTTTAATGCGCCGCAGTAAAATTCTGCTTTGCCTCACTGGTTCTTTTCAAATATAATTAATAATTTTTCAGATATTCTAATAATTATCTAACACCCCCACACTATTTTGCTCGTCTTCTCACTGCCTCTATTTTTGCATGGTTTAGCTTCTTCCTTTGGATTCCAGTGTTTGGAATGGCCCTTCTGCCCATTGTGTAAATAATATATGCTCCTTTAATCCTCATACCTCAGTCACTAATTCCAAGAATAATTTTAATTTATAGGTTAGAGTAAACCTTTTTCTTTACTGGGGGAAAGAGGAAAAGGGGGACAGAATTTATTCTCTAATTGCATCAAATATTAAAAACACAGCAGTGCCCTTTATACCCTATCTGTTTCTTCTCTTGTCGGTGGTTACTTGTTATTAATGCCAAGCACAGTGAAATGCCTCTAGTCAAAAACAGTCATAATAAGGAAGCTCTGCTTTACAGGCTTTCTAATAATCAACATTTGGGCTTTACAGATATTTGGACATTCATATAAATAATCACAGAGATGATGATATCTAATCTAAGAGTAAATTTTGCACGAGAGAAATGCTATTTAAATGAACACGTCAATCTTAAAAAAGCCAGCTCTAAATACACTGAACATGATTAATGCAGTATCCCTTCACTTATGGATCTGGAAGTTTACAAATCCATCACTCCTGAAGGGGTTTTTAGCCTTTATCCAAAGTCCTTTGAGTTTATGGGGCTTTTCCATTGACTGCCATTTCTTTTGGTGAGGTTGTTCCGTGCGTTAAATGCAAACTCATTGGATATTCTGAGCTCCTGCACAAATTACTCTCCTTTACCATACTGGTAGCATTCTAAGCTACTGGACTACATCTTCACTGCACATTCTTTGATTTCTTTATTTGACAAGAACTGGAGTCCTTACAGTCACACAGCTAAAGACAGATAGCGTGAGAGTTTTACAGCAAAGAGAATAGTTTCAAGGTTAAGGGTTGAAGAAACAGCTGTTTACCATGAGTGTGTACAAATCTTAAGGGTCTATTTCCCCATCGCTACTAATTAACATAGCAAGTAAATGGAGTTACTTGCATGTAAAGCCTTCACACATGCATCATCAACTGGTGGAGAGAGCATAGGATTTCAGAATGGAACTGAGTTTACAGTAATTGTTGGAAGCTGGATCCAATACTTCAGCTGGGGCATTTTAGGGAATGATGCAAAGCAATCTGTCTTCAGCTGCAAGGCATGGGAAGGTTCCTTATTTTTCTTCCTTCAAAGTGATCTTTTGTTCAAAGTTGTGCTTATTCTGCACAACTTTTGTGTCTTAATAGCCTGAAGAATCAGTGAAAGCCAGAAGGTTACTTGGAATATTTTAAATATTCTTTGAAAGAAATGCTAATGACAATGAACACAATATAAAGATAGCTGAGTGTAAAATTAATTTTTAATATGTTTTTGATGTGAGGAAGGATGCTCAGTTCAAAAAAATTGAAATAGAGCCACAACGATTATTTCTCAAAATACTTTTTAGCTGTATTCTGTTGAATGAATTGTAACTCCTGTTTTTCCAAGGCAGTGGAAAATGGACAGATTATGTGGAAAGAAGCAATATTTAATCAGCGCAGAGCTCTGTAATTCATTCTGCTTTTAATTTATCAGCACTCAGTCTCGCTCAGATATTTCAAATGTAACAACATCAAGTAAAATCTTCTACTGATCACATGGCAAAAGATGCTGACACTGATAAGTCTTTCATCAGCAGAAAAAGGTTTAAAGAACAGATAGCAAGTGTTTTTTTTCCAGAAAAGAAAATCTTATATTACTAGGACCACAAACCTAAGCCATTTATGTTCTGTCACGAATGCAACTAACTCAGTATGTAAGAAAAGGTCTTACCTTGTTTTAAGGATATTCAGAAACTGCAAAATTTCTGAAAACTGTATCAGTCTAAGGGCTCTTAAAAATCTTAAACCTGCAGTAAAGAAAGAAAAAAAAAACCTCTAGTAAAGAATAATTCAAATTATAACAACATTTCACTTACAATGACAGTGATCAATGAAATCAACATCAGTAGCATACAAAATGTCAAATACCTTTGAAATGTTCTTCCATATTTAATGGTTCCAAGATCCTTACCAGGTCTTTTTCAAATGGTTTTAAACTTATTTCCTTAATAGCTGAAGTATCCTACCAGAAAGCCTTAGTTTATGCAGGAAGCCATGGGAGGAGACATACAGGCTGAAAGCTAAGGGGAAAAAAACCTCACTGAGGTTCTGTTGGTAGTTCTAGTGCACATGTCCTTCTCTTCCAGGCTGTCAAAGACACATACAGATCTGAAACTCCTCAGTCCTCCGAGCTCCCACGTTGCTTAGTGAAAAAATAAGAGATTATGGGCAAGAGATCTGATAACCTGGACGAAGTACATGCGTGTATGCCTGATTAAATTGGTAAATCTTAATGACGTAAAATCTTTTATTGTAATAATGCTCCCTATCTCCACCCTAATTTCCAAAAACTCAAGCAGGAGAACAGAGGAACGACACATTCTCTCTTAAAAATGACAAATCTACTGTAATTCTTTCCATCAGACTACAACTATAGGAACAGATTACACTTTGTAAAAATAGTTACTTCTTTAATAGTCAAAGAAATAGCATTTTTGTGTTGAAATCAGGTTGCATGAATAGCAATTCCCAGATAACTGCAAAGCCAGCAAGACATACACAGAGAGAGTGTCCGCAAAAGAAAGTACTATAGAAGATTAAGGGCTTAAATTATAAGAGACTTATGCTGATAGTAAATAATTTGGCTGCAGATCTTTGGCATATGAATAAAAAGTACATTGTGTATGATACACATGCACAGCTTATAAAATTAAAATAAGGCTTTGAGGATAATTTTTATCAGACAGTACAGCCAAGAGTTACATAAAAGTTGTGTAACATGGTATTGCAACTGTTACAGTTAGGTCCAGGGCAGCTTCTTCTCATACTTCCTCTTTATTGACATTTATTTTACCCCCTTCCAGTGCTAGAAACCACTTTTTATTTCTAGAAACTTAAGGAAAGACTGGTTCTGGCAAACATATAAACCTGGTCACAGCCTTCATCATCTCAGCAGAGTCAAGAGCAAAGATGCATGTGTTTAAATCAAGGCTTTATTTCTGCAGTATTCTTGAAAGTTGTTAAATAACATTTTTACTCTTGTTAAGGCTCATAAATAACCTTAAAGTAGAAAATCACTCCCGTCTGTGCGTTACATGGATATAAAGTTTCTTTTTAATTACTGACTGTGGGAAACTCTGAAGATTAATCACAACTTGAAAACTGGATTTGGGGATCTAGACAAAAAGCAATAAAATAATGCTTAATAATGATAAACTTCAGATCCATTTGTAATTAGAGGATGATCATTTTGGATCCTAGTGCTGAAACTGAGAGACGTGTCCCTCTGCTCCACTTGCAGTAGTTCCCACAGTTGCTACTTCTATCCAAAGAGACGTGGCTGGACAGGGATGGAGAGGACCTTTACCAGCAACCCTAAAATTCCTCAGCTCTGTTCCATCCAGCTATCTCCCTCACTCCACTCCCTAGGAACTTTTTGAAAAATGGCTGGTGGGAGAAAAATCCTTCCTTTCAAATGCTTTGCATTCCATCTGAAGTTAATAAGATGGCCAAGTTACCCACTGCAATGTTTCAAAAAGAAGCCTGAGAAACGTGAATGTTAGCAATAAAACCTCTATCTCCAAACTCTAACAATGCTTAAGACATATTTTAGTTGCTGAGACTCAAATGAGAGAACAAAAAGACTATGGCTTCAATGTATTTTTTGTGCAAGAAAATCATTATGGATTAAGTTCTGCATTTGCTACAGCCTACACTGTTTTAAAGAATTCCCCAGAGAATAGAATTAAAAAAAAAAAAAAAGTGGAGGAGTTTGCTTGAAAAGTTTACTTGAACTACAAATGGAACTGGCTTGTAATTGTAAAGGTTACAATCAGCTTGTCACCTCTGTATCTTGTCTAGGACACTACCTGTGGGGCTGTGTTTTATAGCTAAAGGGATTATTACCCAGAAAGGATCAAATTTTGATCCTTTGTATTGTACTGAGGTAATACACAGAAACCTCAGTGTATTACCTGCTTTGTGTGGTTCAAATATGAAGAACAAAAATGAAATGAAAATAACAGTTTTCCTTATCATGATGGCAAATGAATTCTTTCCAGTGTTCTACTCTTTTCAAGACCCAAAGGATTCCATTATTAGGTTCCTACACACATGTCATTTTATATGATTTTCTGTACTTCCTGTCTTGCAAATAATCTGAATCCCATCATCCTAGCAAGAAAGTGGTATTTAATAAGCATCTGTACCTATGTTGATAGTATCAAGATATAACAAGGCATAAGCCCTATTAAAAGGCACCAAGAAAAGGCAGATTCTCTAGATGAGATCTTGAAAACTTCATAGACAAACTACCGCGATCCTGTATGACGCTACCTCTTCATATTTTATAGACGTGTTTATCTTTAATTAGCTTTTGTAGAAACATCAGTCATGTTAGAAATATGGGATTTTTGTATTTATTATAAATGTATTATATTCTTAAATTATTATTTATTTTCCATTATTATAGATTTTTTATTATCATTATAAATTTATTATACAATTATTATAAATTTATTATATTCTATATTAGTCAAAACAGTCCTCTAGTAAATCAATATGTATAGGAAACAGAGATTGGGAAAACCCTTCACGACAATACACCTTTGAAGCCTTTAAAAATTATGTATTTCAAGTATTTTCAACGGCCATTAAAATTATATTCCCAGTTTTGCTTCAAAGGATCTCTAAAGGTCTTTTTTATGAAGACCTAACCTGTCTATAACATTCTTTCCAGCTATGTAGAGACATCACCTCATATAAATTTCATCAGCAGCCTGAATATTGCAGGAAAACACTTTTGTTTGCCCTGACAGTGGACAGTTCCTGACCAGGTGCTGAACAAGGGCTACAATCTGCCTCAGTGGGCTAGAGCGTGAGGCTACTGGGTTTAGTAATGAATCTACTGGTTCACTTCTGAGCTTTATAATCCCCTTCAGTAGAAAATCTAGCCAACCGAGGGCTTTAAAATCCATTTGACACTGACTGATGTCAGAGTCAAGGAGAACCTGGCTCAGGAGGAAACAAGCAGAGACCGGGAGTAGCGTTCTTAGTATAAACCATGGCGAGAAAGGCAGACAGTTTGCAAATAGGGCTGAAAAGCTTATAGTTGAGCAGGGAAGAAGCCTGTTTAAAGTAGGAAAATCAGGAATATTCATAAGAGATGGGTATTCCGGAACAGTGTAAAAAAAGAACTCTGAAAAGTGATCTGAACAAAACACGTAAAAGGCCTGGACAATAGTAGGGCTGCAGCTGGTAGGTTTAAGTAACCTGGTTTCCAGGTACTCACAGCATTTTGCTCTCAGGGGCTGAGCGTACCAGCACCAGTTAGTTCAGCGTTCGCAAGTGAAGCCCACTCTGCCTGCAGTGTTTACTCCCCCCCCATAACACAGCCAGCCAGCCAAAGCAACTCTGCATAGGAGGGGCAAGTTGCACTGCACAAGGCACCAGCGTGCACACCTCCCCAGTAGCTTATACCACGTGAAGACTTTGTGTGGTCTATTGGCAACATCCACTAATACTAGCTGAACTGGAACAAGGGAGAAAGGGGGGAATTCCCATTCTTGACTAGTTATTTCTAAAGCTCGACCGTGAAAGAGATAAGAGGTGCTGGTCTTGACTGAATCTGTTTGGCACTCTAAAACATTTAATAGCATTGACTGCTTGACCTTCTAGTAAATTGTGTTCATTTTGAAAGACTGCAGCTAATTCAGAGGTTTCAGCCTTATTCTTCAAATAGACTACAAAAAGCTGCTGCTGAGAATACACTGTAAGCATACAGCTCAGATGAAATGAGTTTGCCCCTAAATGTATGATTATTTGTATCACCTTGAACTTAGCAAGGGGATGATGAATCAGCTGAATAATTCCCAGAGGAAAAGTCCACACAGCACTTCATTCTGGTGCTGGTATTAATGACATGCAAAAGTGTGCTTGCAATCATACGTGCATCCGTAAACTGATGACACAGTAATCCTCACAGCAATAGCCTTGTTGCAATGAGACTGTTGTCAAACTAAATTATTCAGTAGGTAGCTTACTATGAATCCACACAAGATCAAAATTAAAACAAGTTAAATAGAAAAGGTTTTGATGGGTCTAACTCAATTACTGACAAAGCATCTGTAAAAAATAGCCTGTCTCTGAAAACTAATCACATGTAACCAGTAACGCAATGCCCCATGCTGTGCTCTCTCACTGTTTTCGAATCAAATTTGACTCACAACTAAGAAGATGTTATCCCTTTTAGGCCCACCAACTCACCAAGAACAGAAATTTCTGATGTTTGTTTATGCGTCAAGAATGGTAAGCAAAATTCTATAATAGGAGCACTAGTAAAAATTCCCATTTTCCCAAACCTGCCTCAGATACTTAGACAAATGTGTCCATCTCTCTTTCCTTAGCAATATTTGGGAATGTATTTTATACATGTGGGGAAGAATAATTTCTTTTAATATGAAACGACAAAACTGTTTTACATTTAAGTGATATAATCAATAGCTGAGATAGGGTAAGTTTCTTATGTACTACAGTAAAGCCTATTCTTATTTTGCACATTTAATAGGATCCTGCCTGCTAAAGTTTATTGAGCAAACGGCTGAATGGAATGCTCAGGAAGTACTTGCTGTTTTGTCTCCATCATGTCACTCACCTTTTTTCTTGGCAAGAGGTTTTATATTGGAATTTTCTCATGGGATCTGACTGGAATAGGATATAATCTTCTATACTAGAATTTATACAAAAAATAAGTATCATAAGATTTAATTTACCTAGAAAAGTCTCTCTAATCATGGAAAAATATACCGAT